CGCCAGTACCTACTGGATTCATCATTTTAAAGCACGTCATGGCATCTGCAGCAGGAAAATTACGAAATTAGTGACGAAGAAGCAAGTCGAAAGCAAGGAAAGTATTCAAGAGTCAGCAGATAATTTCTCGAAAGTTCAGAAACTGCTACGAGTACTCGCCCATCTTATCATACAGCAGACCGATGTTGTTGTAAGAAGCAGCCAAGTCCGGATGATTCGGAGGGAGAGTTATTTTCAGAATTTCAAGTGATCGTTCGTAGGATGAGAGTGCTTTCTAGTGCTCGCCCATCGTATCATACATCATACCGATGTTGTTGTAGGAAGTAGTTAAGTCGGGATGATTCGGAGGGAGATTTATTTTCTCAATTTCAAGTGATCGTTCGCAGGATGAAAGTGCTTTCGAGTACTCGCCCATGTTAGCATACTGCACACCGATGTTGCTGTAGGAAGCAGCCAAGTCCGGATGATTCGGAGGGAGAGTTATTTTCTGAATTTCAAGTGATCGTTCGAACGATGAAAGTGCTTTCGAGTACTCGCCCATCTTATCATAGAGCAGACCGATGTTGTTGTAGGAAGCAGCCAAGTCCAGATGATTCGGAGGGAGAGCTATTTTCTGAATTTCAAGTGATCGTTCGTAGGATGAAAGTGCGTTCGAGTACTCGCCCATGTTAGCATACAGCACACCGATGTTGTTGTAAGAAGCAGCCAAGTCCGGATGATTCGGAGGGAGAGCTATTTTCTCAATTTCAAGTGATCGTTCGTAGGATGAAAGTGCGTTCGAGTACTCGCCCATGTTAGCATACACAGAACCGATGTTGCTGTAGGAAGTAGCGAAGTCCGGATGATTCGGAGGGAGAGCTGTTTTCTGAATTTCAAGTGATCGTTCGTACAATAAAAGTGCTTTCGGGTACTCGCCCATCTTATCATACATCATACCGATGTTGTTGTAGGAAGCAGCCAAGTCCGGATGATTCGGAGGGAGAGTTATTTTCCGAATTTCAAGTGATCGTTCGAACGATGAAAGTGCTTTCGAGTGCTCACCCATGTTAGCATATAGCACACCGATGTTGTTGTAGGAAGCAGCGAAGTCCGGATGATTCGGAGGGAGAGCTGTTTTCTGAATTTCCAGTGATCGTTCGTAGGATGAAAGTGCTTTCGAGTGCTCGCCCATCTTAGCATACACGGAACCGATGTTGTTGTAGGAAGCAGCGAAGTCCGGATGATTCGGAGGGAGGATGTTTTCTGTGACAGCGAGAGATTTTTCGTATAAGCCGGCCGCAATTGGATATTCTCCTTGATTAGCCTTGATGATTGCAAGTTGATTGTAACAGTAATATTTATCACGGTCATCGGTAGCATTGTCAAGTAACATTGTATACACTTGTTCGGCTTTGTTGTTCTCCCCCATTTTCCATAGCAGCGAACCCATTCGTTGCCATCCTGTCCCGGTGATTTCGTCTCGGATATGTTGGGTAAGTGCATTGAGGTGTTGATCATCATTATCAGTGGTGAGTGTTAGTTTTACTTGTTGTAGCTTTATGCCATTCTCTTCGATGTGTTTGATTTGTTGAACACGAAAAACAGTATGCATTGAAAAGAGAATTTCACTTTCTGTTGGGAAGAAACTGATTCCATGTATTGCGGCGAATGGAGTCGATGAAATCGTTCGCACAATTGTCATTTCGAACAGAACACCTATTTTGTTTTTGTTGTTTGATTGTAGTGCATCTGTTATAAAACGTGTGGCTACTTTCTGATCATCACTTGTGGATAAGAAGTTATTGAATGAAATGAGTCCATCTGTTTTAATTTTGTTTTCGAAATCCTGCTTGCTCATAGTTTTGCCCCGATAGACTGTAATTGTTGTTGTTGTAGGTGCTTTATTTGATTGTTCGAAATGAAGTTTGGTAATATTTTGGTGAAGATCACGAATGAAGACACCCATATTGAGCAGAGTTTCAACTTGAAGATTTCCCAAGGCTTTGTTCAGCATGTGATATGTGAAACATTCACGTGTATACCACCAAATAGCTTTGTTCTCGTTTGAATCATTTTGATAATCTCGCACAAATTCATCGATCATCATTAAATGTTCACCGTTGCCGGTATACTTTTCGCGGGCGTATTCAGCTAGTGTATTGATTTCTTTGTTTTTATCAAATTCGATTTCAGAAAGGATTTCTTTAAATAATTGTGTGTACATAAATGACGGTTCAATTTTATTTAATGATGACACAGCACTAATCGTGACTAAATCTTCATTACATTGTCGAGCCGATTGTCGAACTGAGTCACAAATTGAAGTAATTTCCGTAACAATACTTTTCACTTTAGACCAATCGTTTGCCCATTCTTGGTACTTCGACGGTTTTCGACAAAATATATAGATTGAGTAGATTTGGTCGAGTTGATGAATATTTGGTACAATAGTTTGACATAGAGCACCAGAAATAATGAGAAAGACTTTTTTATTTTCAAGTTTTGTTATAAAATTGATGCATTCGTCAGTATCTTGAAATGTTTCAATAGTATTAACTGTGCGGCGTAATTGTTTCATTGAATTACGAAAATCATCAGTAGATTCATCGATATATGCATCTAGCCAAAGCAACAGAAAATTTTGTATAAGTTCTTGTGGTTCAATGCGTCGACGATCACGTTTTGCAATCTCCAAAGTTTTTGGTGGTGCCGTCGGTGGTGATGATGAAGACGTGAGAGGATGAGCATTGAGAGAACTAACTGTTGGCACCGAAGCACTGCAACCCATCGTTTGCGTACTTTTGAAAGATCTGAGTATGGATGTTGATTATCAGAAGTGAAATTCCCAATGCGAAGACAGAAAGAGAGGGGTCCTTTGTTTAAACGAAAATTTGTTTCGTCGATTTTTCTTTCTCTGGCATCAATACGTATAGTATTTATTGACGCTCAATGGTATAGTTGTTGGTTGGTTGCCTAACTTCAATAGAAACAAAAGGGCGATGAAACCTTGTTTCTACTTACTGTTGCCAACTGTTTTTTGTTTATCTTTCAATGTGCAATCCAATCAGTGTTGAAGCAGTAGGTAGAATCGCATTGAGTCAATACATAAAGTGTCTTTCAGAAAGAAAAAGAAACTTTTCTTACAACGCAACAATTCATGTTAAATTTAACCTAAATAAAGAATATAACGTAAATTAAAAAGATAAGTACTTCAGTCATCTTATTTTCACCTCTAGATTGCACATCTGGAATGACAAACTTGTTATACAGAAATGAAAAGTCGATTAATCTACGATAAAGTGACCTATGTATATTCTAGAATATCGATTCCTTTTTAATCTTAGTGGATAATATTTGTCTTGAGAGCACATAACAACAAGAAACAAGAAACAGAGACGCAGTGAGGTAGTATAACAGTAAAAGGGTGAAGTAGAAAAGAAGTAAAGTAGCAAATAAAAGAGTAGGGAGTTTTGAAATGTCACTAACAAAAAACAAGTTCTATTGGGACTATTTTCTCTTTTTCTCCCACTTAGATGCCTCTCAAAAATCGAATAAAAGAAAAGCATAAACCGATTTTGTATACCAGACTTGTATACCACGGGACTGGGACTGAGACCATATCACCCATGTCTAATAATGACAAACAGCGTTTGCATTTATAGATAATGCCAATTACTTACTTAGCTGTGCGCAGCCGTCAATAAGTATTACATGCAAAAACAACTGGTAAGCAAACAATTTTTCATATCGTTCCTCCCCCATGATCACTGAAGTGACCATTGGGTGGTGTAACATCTCTTATCTGCCTAGCTTTTGTGAAACTTTCAAAAGGCATTGATACCCGTGGTATACATTATGGTCGATATATATCACACAATACGCCCCCAACATCTATCTTGCCTGTTAGTACAAAAATAATTCTTAAAAAAGTTCAACTCTTCTGATTTTTTTCAAACTTATCGATTTTGTAACTCACTCTTTTCCGAGCTAGAGCAATAAAACACAAGATATTTTTAATCAATCGATAGCTTAAGGAGTTAACTACCAGAAATGTTCCCGAAGTTTTTGAATTCCATGCTTCCTTTATTTTTTACAATTGTACTACCGATGTTCACTTCAGTGACCAAGATAGGGGCGAGGTAAAGTGTTGAACAAAGAAAGACAGTTGCTTGAACTACATCGAGTGGAGATTTATTT